CAGGAACCGACTACCAGATTGGTTACGACTAGTGAATCCCGTGGGCCATATTGTACATGTAGATGTCGCACTTGGATTTGGTATCTGCATTGGGTTCTATGGCACTTTGTGCCGTGTGGTATAATGTGAGGACGGAAATAACCTTTTTGATTGCTACTCGGAACGAACTAGCTGACTATCTGCACCGGCTGGTTCCAGGTATAACATGACAGGACATAAACTCAGTCGAAGGCGAAGAGAGAAAGGTTTTCATGGGGAAATCGATAAATGAGGGGTTTTTATTTTATTTTTTTACTCCAATCTGTGGCATGGTTAGTTATAGTTTGCTTGATGGCTAGAAGTATCGTACCTCTCAATGAGATGAATCCCAGAGGCGGTCTCAACAGCATGGCTCATATCCCCGGGCCTCAAGGCGAATGCGGCCTCCTCAAATTCCTTTTGCATCTCGCCTCTACCGAAGAAGCCGCTGTGGGTGAAAATAAGATCAGCAGGGGCTGGTTCTTCAAATGATGGGGGAGGGAATGGGGGGAGGGGAAAAACAGGTCACCACGCTTCCTCGCACTGCTGCAATCAGACTCAACCACGGCAAGATCAGCCAACGAAGTAGAGCGATCTCTAATACGGGTTTCGAAGCCTAGGATAATCCCCATGGCGTCTTCCTTTGTTCTGGTGATGTTGGACTAACCATCGAGTACAGTACATTGCAAATTAGCCCTCCCAAACCTCTCATCAGGGAGAAGAAGGAGAGGGAAAAAAAGACAAACCTCCTTCCAAGAACTAGGTCTCCTGCTATCCTTATGCTTAACAAGCAAATGTGCGCACCGAATCTTCCCGGCCTGACCACTTCCCTCCGGAGGGGCGGTATTCCCTGTGGAGAATTTCTCCGCCATGTAGACCTTTAATTTATCCGTGTCTGTGTCGGATGGCGGCTCCCATCGCGATTCGGTGGTCGTCGTGTTGAAGTAGTAGGGCAGACCCTTGGACTTTGAAAGCCGGATGGTCCAGTTCTCTGGCAGGCCAGTTTCGGAAGTCTGTGATGGGCACCGAGAAGGAAAGGGGGACGGAGGGCTCATTAGATTCTACACTACTCGAGTAGTACGGAAAGTAAGGGGAGGAGGGGGAGTGTACCATGACTGATTGATTATTTGATAACTAAAGACGGTGGCGGTGGTAGTTTATCGGGGGCGTTTTGAGAGGTAGGGGGTGTGATGTTGTAGACTCCTTCCTTCCTTCCTTCCTTACTTCCTTCCTTCCTTCCTCCCTTTCGGTACGATGATGATGATGGTGGTGACGATGGTGATGGGGTGGTGGTGGTACGGTAAGGCAAAACAACCCCGGGATTTCCGTTTTTTTTTTGGTGGAGAGAGAGATCACGATGAGGTGAGGTGTGGTACTCGAGCAGTTGGGATTAGGCGAAAAAAGGAAAAAGGAGGGGAAAAGAAGGGGGGAAAAAATGAGGGGGGATCTTCGGATCGATGCCTAGCAATTGATTGATTGATATTGATCGATTAGTGGGTGTTTGCTATGACAACATGAAAAAGGGAGATTTTTGAATTCTGGTTATGGTTAGCTAGTTGAAGGTCTTAATAAGCACAGAGCATGTACAGTATGCTATGCCATTCATGAATAGAAACTCCTTCTGCTAGCGATATTTGTTATAATGAATTGGGATCGTTGAGTTTAACTCTTTAATTGTTTATGTAATATATTATTACGGTGCTGTTTGACGTGCACTGTATTGTACTCGTACAATAATTCTTGGACAGAAGTTATCATTAGTGGGTCCAAGTATCATACTGACAAAATACACACCAAAATAGTAGAAATCCTCGGTCACAGAAATCGTGGTTTTCGCCCCCACCTCTTAATCAATTAAAACAAAAAATATATCAATAGATAGCTAAAGACTTAGTGGTCCTGAAATTCGTATTTCTATGACAAATATGTTCATTCTGTGAGTAGCTCTCACCAACTGGAACAACTGATCCCAAAACTGGTCTCAAGTGCCAAGAATTTATATGGGCAGGCATACAAAAAGATACCTATTTTGAAAGTCACCAATTTCACATCACCACAGTTTAGGCAATATTACACCATATGCCTCAGAATTTAAATTCCAGATTTAGAATACCCAAAACCTCCAGTTCATGAAGAATTGATTTACTTCCACTTCATGTGGTTGAGTTCTGGTGCTGTGAAAAACAGCATTTCTGGTGTAAAAGTGCCCTTCCAGGATGAGTTTCCTCACCTCACTGGTATCATCATACCAATAAGCATATATCAAAGTAAAAGTTCAAAATGGCATGTGCTAAGAAAAAATTCAGAGGCATGTCATATGAAAGGGTACTTTTTATTTTAAACTTTTTCCATTTTGCCCTTTACTGTACTGTACATACCAAACCAAAGTGTTTGTGCTCTTCCTCCACCCTTTTTCGAACGATTTATCCCCATATGATATATCCCCCCGTGGCAATTTCATGTTTTCGGGCACTTCTTGCTGGGGACGAGTATCACACATGTTTTTCCTGTATCGTAGAATAGGTGTTACAATCATAATAACCTGCGTATCGAAATATTCTATCTGCATTTTGCTCACAATATCGGTTATCATACATCTGGTTTTTATACTATCACATGTGGCATCGTAATTGTGAAGTCTAATTTATGGAATACGAGTTTATTCGCATGATAATAAAAATTGTCGCAGTTTACTACCAGTGGTTGGCACCAAACACGCTCCTATACTTATAAAAACTCCAATATGCCAAAATTTATGCTACAAAAGTGATATCGCCGAACAGAGCCTATGATATTATTATATATTTTTTCGTAGCCCAATTGTGTTAACGGGGAATGAAAGGGTCGATGACGGATGGGCTTCTTGTGGGCTGTTGGAAAATTTGCTTGCCCTCGGCTTAGCTCGCTAGTAGCTTGAACTTAACTATGATACCATAGAACTACAGTTAAGCGTAGACTGCCGCATTGACAGCTCAAATTCGGCCGCCGCTACCAAAAATATTACCCTGTGAAAGGTTTGGTATGGCGGGAAAAGAACGATGACAAAGTTGTTACTGTATACCAGTGCTGGGGGGGGGAGGGGTTCTGATAAAGTCTACTCGAGTATAGAGTGAACTGTTGTAAAAGGAAAACTCGAGACATGGCAATATAGTACCCGGATGTGCCCACGGACAAGATCCAAAAGTGGCCCACCAATCGGTTAAAACCTCTCCAATAATGCGGTACTGGTTCTGTGTTAACCGCGGTCATGATACAACGCCAATCACTTCTACTGTGCTGCGCTCGCACAAAACCCAATCTACGGTACTGTAAAACACATCGCACATTACTCGCACCTAGGCCTGCACTATAAAAAAACAGGGAAGAGCCCCGCATTTGATGTTTTCCCTTAGGTTACTATACTATCCCTGGGAGGGAGAAGAGGAAGAACGGCTATCCGTGAGCTAGTTATCGGGAATATGCGCCAATACTTCGCGATAGAGTAACACCTCATAGATACTGGTGAGTGCACACACGAATTTCACTCTCTCAGCGACAAACTTAAGATTGAACACATCGCTGATCCGGACCAGGAAGCCTCCCTTCTCGTCGTCTACAATTCCATTCTCGGCGCTGCCGAGACACTGCCTGGTGACTGTAGCGGTAACGAAGTGGGCAAGGGAACCAGCCGCCAGGTAGATGAGGAGCGGCCGGTATACAACGCGCTCGGGGTTGAGAATGAAGTGCTTCTGCGCAACGGCAAGGAGGTACCCGACAAGCTGGAAGTTAGGGTCCCCGTGCCCGCGTGAGGGAGTGACCACCGTGATAATTGGCGCTTTGTCGGAAGTGCATACCGCGATGCTCGGGTCGAAGAAGAAGATTTGCCCGTTGAAGTAGAGGGAGAGGTCAGATGGGGGTTCGTATCTGTTGTGTCCGTACAGGTTATGTATGAATCAGCACTCCTATCTTCTACATTTAGGATTGGGTCGCATGTTGTGAATTTTTTTTTCACTCACCCGCCGAAACGCTTCACGGTGGTAGTCTCGGAAGTAAAGGTATATTCGGTCAAGTACTTGAGGACAAGCTCGATAAACGACTCGAGGTCATCGGGATTAGCGCGCCAGAGTTTAGCGGCGGTGGTGGCGATCGACTCAAGCATTCGGGTGCGGGCATCTTTCGCCCAATAGAATAACCCGTCGAAGAGAAGCCCCTCGACAAGGTCGGTGGGCGTGAAATTCCCATTGATGAGGAGGGATGGGGAAGGTGCGGCAAAATGGAGAAGTTGCGTCTTCTCTACGACAGTTACCCTCAGGGCGCCTAGGTACACAGGATCCCAGACAGCGGGATGAAGCGCCCTACGGAGCTCATCGATACTGAGGTTACCCGTTAGGTTGTGGAGGGAAACCTCTTTTTCTGGTGTCGGCATACTTCGCATGATTGACGATTGCATGGCGGGAAGAACTGTTAGTTCCGGTGGACACAGTGCTTTGACGACGGTTCGAGGAGGAAGGAAGGAAGGAAGGAAGGAAGGAAGGAAGGGAAAGGAGCTGTCCGCAAACTGTTCAAATATCGAACTCTCGGCATGGCTTTGAGAATTGAGCTGTGCTCGGCAATTTGTTGCATCACACGATGTCATTCGCGAAAAACCGGATTCCGAGCGAGGGTTAGGAGATTCAAGCTATCCACATGTTACCGCTGCAAATAATACTAAGATTAGGGCAAGTATAAGAGGATGGTGGTGGAACGATATACTCTCGCTAGATTCTGAAGATGTGATCGTACTAGAAATGCTTGTAAAGGAGACAGAGTTTGTAGTGATATATGAATACTGAAATTGCATGCGCTTTGAATGCTTTTAAACTACTGTAGTGACACAATCCAAAAATAACGTAAAAGAAAGAAAACATTGAAAAGGAAACAGAAATGGGGGTTTAACTCCTAAGATCATAAAATCAAACCTTCCGAACATGCCTTCGGGTTGTCCGGGCCGGCTTTGGACCTTTGGGATCTGCAGGATTCCTATCAAGGCACTGGCAACGATCGGGTGGGTCCTGGGGTTGACGTCGCTCCCAGAGTGTTGGGCAACTCTCGGCCAATCTTGGGTCCCCGCATTGGAAAGCAATCATCCAACTCTTTTCAAAGGCGCGGCCAAAGAATGGGTCATCTAGATCATCCGTATAAGAACCCAACTTCTTGTCGTTATGGATCCAGTGGTCATCGCCACTAGTTAAAAGGTGTCTCATGCTTTCATAAACATGCCTCGGGGTGCCGCGGATACGCTTTGCCGAAACGATGAACTGTCCAGATTGTGATAAGAGGACATATCCAGCAGGGCAAAAGCCTCCATTGAAGGAGGCGAAAATCTCTGGAATACGATACCAAGATTCTTCTGTTCCAAAGGGGTCCTTGCATTGGTGGCAGGCACAGCGGCTGAGGCTAGGAGCAAGAGAGAGTATGCCGGTTTCCGGGCCGTAGTAATCATATATGCGTTCAGCCATCCTCTCCAAATTCTGGAAGGATCCATCAAGGAACATTGTATGCTCTGCGAGTTCATCCCACATATCAATGATATGGGTAAGCCAGGCAGCGTTACTTCCCCCCCTAGCTCCCAATTTTCGAACAGCATTTGCTTTGGTCTCATCATATACAATTCGTTGATCAGCGTTAGGATCCTTGAAGTAAACAATGATGTTAGGATTCAATCCGCCAAACCCGGGCAATCGCTTAATCGCTTCTAGACCCTGGCCAACCGCGGCCGGGTGCTCTTTGTACACGCTGACAACAATATCAAGTCTCCTAGGGGGCTGATATTTCATGTCTAATGTAGCGACAGGGAAAGGCCCACTTTGTTCCACCATGTTTGGATTCTGGGGAACATAGACCACCTCGCTGGATTCTCCACCCTCCAGCGGCACTGACTGAATTTCCGTCTTTCCAGTCCCAAACATAACCCCTAGGGCCATGATGAGGATAAGTGCGGCCGCTCCACCGATCGAAGCCTTTCTTCGAGTTGGATGTTTTGCGCCAAATTCCTCCCATGCGTTAGAACCGTCATTGCGAATGCGCTGATATCGCTCTTGGATCTTATCCACGCCAAGCTTATAGAGAACTAGACCACCCAATGCAAGGCTGTAGCCAACCAGCTGTGTAAGGCTGACAGTACTGCCCCAAATGGCGACTGAGGTACCGACTAGGAGGATATCTTTGAGAACACCGCACAAGGTAAGGACTAGCGAGGAAGTTCTGCCGATCTAACGGGTACAGTTAGCATGAATTCCACAGCTCTAAGGTTTGGATATGCAATTTACCAGAAAAACCACTGAGATATTCAGAATAAAAGCCAGGGCCGCATTTGCAAGCAGTGTGAGTAATCCAATCCTAAGTACCTCGGACATACTAAGCCTCGATGCCTCAAATACAAGGAATATCAAGAAATTCATTAATGCACAGACTGGCGCAAAGTAATACAAGGATACGAGCGGGTCCATTTTGTACTCTGCAGACCAAAGCAGCCGCTGTACCAGGATAAGGCGGAAAGCTTCGAAAATAATGCCGACGGTTTGGAAAACGAAGCCAGTTAAATTGAAGGCGATCTCCCCATACGAGGCAACCATGACACCTAGCACAATCACGGAGACGTTTGCAAGCACCCTAACATTCGGAGTTTCTACACTCATTCCCCAACCTACGAGGAGGACTGCCACTGGGGTGGTTGCCTGTGACGATTAGAGCGAGCAAGTAACCGGCGTAACAAAGGAATGTAATTGTACCTTTAGCATCTGTATAAAAGCAATACTCAGGTACAGATACGTCTGGTTTCCACATATCAAACTCAAGCTAAAAAACAGGCCGATGGGAAGAATGGCTTTTAGATAGAGCTTCCCCGTCATGGGGACATTTTTCCGGCCATCAAGGAGGTGTGTCGTCCGTGCGAGGATCTGGGTAGCGATCGTTGCAAACACCAAATGCCATGTTGTAAGGAATATTGCTATGGCAAACTTAATACCCGTGCTCGATAATTATTGTCACCCGGAAGGCAAGGAGATCTTACGGAATGCTACAGTAAAAGTTAGTCGCAACGCCTAGACCACCGTAATGGCGGATAAGCCATGCAGAGAGCTATAAGGAACTTACGAAATTTCTTATTGAACAAGACCCACTTGTTAAAGATGATTACGGCCGAACTTAGAATGATCCATACTCTGTAATCTCGGCTGTTAGTATGGCGCTATAAGTGAGGTTGCTCGGGGGAAAGCTCACACCACGTAGACAGCGGGGTGAAACTTCTCTGCTGCGGGTAGGGGCTGGGCGGCCGTAGCAGGATCTGGAAGAGATGAAGTCGACCGCCGAGGAGACGGCGGTACGGAGAGATCGTCGCTTCCGTCAGAAGGAGAGCAGACTTCTTCTAGACCCATAGCGGCAAACTTGGTCGAGAAGACGAGCAAACAACAGTGGTGACAGATCAAAGTTGCCGATAGCAGCCCCGAAGCGATAGGTTGAGGGATACCACTTCCGTCCGTTAGAATGGTGGGGAGATGGTGATTACTGTATTCGAGAATTCCCCCCCTCTATTCCTTTCTTTCTTCCTCCTTAGTGTTCTGTTAGGATGAGGTTGAGGAACTGGGGCACGAGGTAGTTAATAAAGGTCCAAGGAGCAACAAAGAGGTTGCACCAATAGCACTTTGTCACAGGTTTGGTAAGCTAGCTCCCTATCTTCGTCGGTTTTGCGAAGGTCACGCAGTCGCACTTCGCTGTAGACTAGTCTAATGAGCCTCTTTGTGGTGGAGAATTGCTTATCACGAGCGAGTTGCTTGTGGGCTCGGATGGCCGTCCAGCCCAAGCAAAGTTCTTGATGACGACACACACAATAACAATATTATTATTTTGCGACAAAGGGAGCCAGTTGTGGGGGGACCTCCATCCACACGACGGTAACCAGAGCAACAAAACCTAAATTAGTTTAGTGTGCCGGTAGGAATACTCAGTAGGATAATTTTAGCAAGATGCTTGGCTCTTTTCCACTGCCACTCACCAGCATCGAGTACCGGTAGGCGTCTCTGCCAAGATATAAACGATGCCTGAGATTGACAAAATGTGTCGTTCAATTCACTGTGTCAATAGACATGTGCTATTGAAGATCGCTACGCCAGTGACCCAAAGCATGTATTTCAAGCTTCCGCTATCGATCCCAAACTAAAGGAAATCTCCATGTAGATAGATAGGTAAACATTCTAAACATAAACAATGTGGACGGGGGAGTACGGCGAAGTGTTGGCTGCTGAACAAATAGATACATACTCTGTTAGCCAGAAAGTGATAAGTTAACTGCCAAGGAAAACAAAGCACAAAAAATTCCTGACATAAGCGCTGATCCCACCACTTCAAATTGTCACATCTGACCATTTGGTGTGCCGTTCGAACTCTTGGACATTCGCCATACTTTTCCCTGTCCCCTTCGTACCGTACTTGTTCTATCACAAAACAAAAACAAAATATTACTGATGGAGCATGGCCGCAGCTTAATAGAGATGAGGTAGTAGAATAAAAAGAAAACAGGTGTTAGTTGTGTACGAGTATATAGAAAGCACCGTATGATACCAATCTTTGGTGGAATTTTGAGATGTACAGTGTAGTATCATACTTTGGTTCTGTTCTCTCCCTCGCTATGTCTCAGAATTTGGATGCCAGTGGCGCAGTTTCTTATGCAATTCATCTCTCTTGCTCGAAGTAGCCATATTGCGCTTTTGTTGTAATAAGGGGGTTTTTTTTTGGCCCTGTTTTCGTGATGTGCAGTGGAGGTCGATCTTACGTGAGCAAACGACTAATATGAGGCTCGATTTGCTATTCCCGGCCTCTGAGCTAACTAACCTACCGGTGTGGAGGGGAAATTGAGTTGATAGGGTATTGTCTGAGAGCTGTGAGGTTTTTACCCCATGGAATTTCCTGTATTTGTTCATGCCTTGGCATGAACACTTTCTTGTATTTAAACTGGGAGCTGGTCTTCTTAGTTAAATAAGCTCAATGTTAGGCGGAGACAACTTGATAGACTTCAAGGTTGTCTAGGCCAATCAAGATTTGTTTCTGTAGACAGAGATTGTCTAGGAAGGCTTGGACTTTACTCATCTCGTTTATGACTACTAGGAGTGAAGTAAATTAGGTAAGGTAGGGTAAAATTGTAAAAACAATACTATATTGTTAAGGTCACTTCTCCGTTGCTTGATGGTGTCTAAAGTTTGGAAGGTACTTCAATATTTATATTCCGCGTCTGAGTGTTCCCGGACTACATCTATTTATCATACAACTATGTACTTCTTCAATTGTAATTCGCAACGTCGAGTTATCTTCCAAGGTGCGAACACCTGTGGACCCTGAAAACCCTCACACCCTCTTTGGTAATTACAATATTTCTTCTTAGGAAATGTGCTGTCCCCAATAGTAATATCCCGATTAGCAGAGTCTTTAGACTTATGGCCTAGTTCTTAAGTTGAACTGAGTTGGCCCCAATTGTCTTCGCCATTGATAAAATGATTAGTTTTATCCACGGCTATATCTGCAAAGGTGGTCGTCATTACAACTATCGTAGGTCGTCTGACTTCGATCCTTTGTAACTCCATACTCAACCAATAGATTTTCTCTGGATGACTTTCTATTGACTCGCAGGAAGCTATTCCACCAGATTGGTAATTAAGCCCTCGGTCGGCAACCCTTGGTTGCTCTCTGGGTAGAAGGTTTCAGTAACCATTGTAGTATAGAGAATCACCTCATGGCTACGACGTGTTCCGAAACCCAGTTACAATACTCCGTGAAGTTCGTTGGCTTCTTTGGTAGTGTTTTTTGGAGTTCTAGACTCTTCTGGTGGATGTAAATGTATTGGTCTCTAGTAGAGATCCTTTACCATTTGATACCATCTCTTTGTGCGAAATCGTCCCGTTACTTATGGCCTATGCCAAAGGTGTCATGTCTTTGAAGCCCAGTAACTCTCTGAGTAGTTGATGGAATCACTCCGTTCCACTTCTCAGACCTAGCCGAAGGTCCCCTCTCATATATCCCGCGAACAGGATCCAGTCGGATAGACAGTGACGACGTATATAGTGTTATTCTAACACCTTCAATTCTGTGGTAATATAGTCACAGGATGCAACTGAGATGAATATATATGATGACGCGCGGGCCCCGTAAGGGAGCCGGAGGGGGGTGTTGGAGACCAGAGGTTCCCATTCTGAGTGGGATTACCCTACTTAGGGTGGTTCCTAGGTATCGGGTTCTGGTATTCCTAATATTCAACTACTTCTCAACAACACCCATTTAGATAGTAGTGCATGCCTATCTAAAGCAGGTTCAGCTACAACCCCCTTGTAACAATCCCCCTTCGGATAGTTAGTTCTTGGCGACAGGGAATAATACTTTCCTTCTTTTCTCTCTCTTTCTTGCCGTATGATAGCTCTAAGCCTATGCCTATATTACTGGTAGTACAAGACTGTTGTATTCTATTGATAATGCTTATTATAAGCTTTCTCTAACTCTATGTTGTGAAGGGTATTCTTGTCGCAATAATAATAAAGGTCATGATAATAGTAAAAAGTATAAAGGTGTTTTATATTTGTTAAAATAATAAGTAGGAAAAGTGTGACATGTTCGTAAGGAGCTAATCAGGTTATCGACTATGGGGTACGATAGTTGGCAGGTGGCCTGCTCTACTAAAGAGGAGGCGAGAGCTGAGAACTAAAGAAGATTTCGAAGGTATACTGAGAAATAAAGAGGTAACCGTTCAACCAAGTATATTGAAATACTGTCTGTTGAAGTCTGCCTTTTCTATCGTGGAGACTGGCAGTCTTTAAATACAGAAATCTTGTTCATGTCTAGCATGAACAAATCTAATCAAAGGTATCAAGTGATACGCTTTGGTAAAAACAAATCAAGTATCAAAACGATACTTAAAACGAAACATAAATCAAAACCAAGTATTCAACGATACTTAAAACAAACTAAGTATCAAAGTAATACTTAAAACAAAACATAAAACAAACCCAAATATCAAACGATACTTAAATTAAACCAAGTATCAAAGTGATACTTAAAACAATACATAAAACAAAACCAATAACTGAGTACCTGTACTGGTTACAAAAAGTACTTAGACTTCAATATAATTTTATTTAAACTGGTACTGCCAATACTGGCATACGATGAGCCCTCACTGGCACAGGGATACCACTAATCGGTATACCACTAACTACAGGCTAACTAAGTCTACGGTTCTGCACCTGCCATCCCCAAGTTATGCCTGCATGAGAACTAATTACAAGACCCTCAAACAACCCAGTGCCCTCCTTAGTCCAAGTCCGTAGCCCCTCTGGTATGAAGCCAACCAGGACTAAGTGTAGTTGAAGCCGAACAAAAGACCAACCTGATCAAGTTCCTCGTGTAAAACATATAACCACTACTGTGCAGTCTGAATACTGTCTCACAAAACCTCCATCACGGTCGAAAACTAACAAACAATCTAACCTAAAGGCAATACAATAGGAGGGAGGAGGCGACCAATATATCCCCCTCTTGTGTCTGCATGCTTGGCCATTGACCTGATGAATCTACTTTGCTAGTTGCCTCCAAAGAGCATACTGGTGAGGAGGACCTATACCCGCTACCTGTTCGGTAAACCAATAACATAAACAAAAGAAATACATTGAGATGGTAACAGACTGAAATGGTCAGCGGAGCCTATATCCTACCTGTGGTGCTATGCCACCTCCTGCTATACTTGTAGCCAAACCAAAGAAACCATACAAGCCCCACAAAATTCAGCACGCAAGACTCAAACAAGTCCAACCAGGTGGTTGCAATTCACTATCTGCACAGGTAGCCATCAACCTACTGGTCCGTCAGGGAGCTTTACAGCACTCAGCAGCTACACCTGAACAGCCCAAATAGGTCGGAAACACTTAATTAAACATTGTCCAACCTGAATAATGCCTGACCAGTACTTACAGGTGCCTTTCCTCCCCTAATCAGCCCCCCCCAAGCCCCACATACTAGGTGGCACTGGACCCATCCAGCCCCCTCAGCACTTCAGACAGATCAACTGTTTTACAGCCACAAGACAGCCTATACCTGACCCCATCAAGCAGCCACTGGTTTTAGTATTAGGAATACTGGGATCCGATACCCAGGAATTATCTGAGGTCGAGTAATCCTACCTGGAATTGGAATCTCAGGTCCCCAACACCCCCCTTCAGCCTCCTTACAGGACCTGCACATCATCATAGATATCAGTTTCAGTTGTGTCCTGTGACTAAAGTACCACAGATTTGAAGGTATCAGAATAATACCGTATATGTCACCGCCGGCAGTCCGACCGGATCCTGTTTGCAGGATATGGGGGGGGAGATATTTGGCAATACCTGGAAAGTAGAACAGAGTGAATCTGGCAACTACTCAGAGAGTTACTGGGCTTCAAAGATGTAATGTCATTGGCATAGGCAGTAGGTAACGGGACGGTATTGTATAAAAAGATAGTAGTGAATGATAAAGGATCTCGACGAGAGACTAATACATTTGCATCAACTCTATAATTATCAGAGGAGTCTAGAACTCCAAGAGACACTACCATAGAAGCCAAAGGACTTTACGGAGTATTACAACTAGGTTTCGGAAGATATTGTAGCTGCAGGGATGACTTCTAATACTGCAATGGTGATTGAAACCCTGTGACTCAGAGAAATGAAGGCTTGCTGACTGAGGAATTATTTGTCTATCTGGTAGAATAGCTTCCC